ATTATTTGTTTTTGGATTTTGGTTGTTTGCTTATGGTTGGTGACTGCTGGTTTTTGTTGGTTGATGGTTTATGCTTTATGCTTGCTAGTTGGTGCCTTGTGGTTACTGGTTTCTGGTTGCTGATGGAGCTTAAGGCTTGGTGGTTTGTGCTTTGTAGTTATTGGTTGTTGGCTGTTGTTTGATACCTTTTTGCCATTAGTTGGTGAAAACTGGTTGCTGCTTTTAGTCTGAGTGTAACTTCGCCATGGCTGCCGAGGCTTGTTTACTGTGTCCTGCATTCTCTTGCATGCACACACACTTGCGATGGCGCCTATGACCGCTACAGCCGGCCTGTATTGCACACTCCTTTTCGATCTTGGACGCTTGCGGGTTCTCGGTTCACGTCGCCTCAACCCACACATCCAATGTAACGAACATCGAACAGACGAACAGACGAACAGACGAACATACGAACTAACAATCGATCAATCAACTCCCAAATCACGGCCTCGCCTCACGTCTGCTCGTCTGCGCCACCTTTTGCTCAGCCGCCGTGAGGCCTCAACCTGCACAGCCGAAATGGCCCAATCGGCTGCTCGAACGTCTAGCCACGTCTGGCTGGCCCTCCAATCAGACACTCACCTTCATCCACTCGCCCATTGGCTCGTTCGCTTTGTCTGGCAAATTGCCTCCACCAGGTCAGTGACTTGATCTGGCGCACATTTCACGGCAGCAGACTCGGCCGCTCGGTTGCCGCTCGTGTTGGGCTTACTTGCAGTTCGAGTGAAGTGTTTTCGATTAAACGATTCCAACGTCGATCCCACCAGACCACGACGCCCGATTCCTCTTGACCAACTGTCGATTGGCCCTACTCTGGAACATTCTTGTTGACGCTGTTTCCGAGGCGATCGTCTTCAATTACGGCCAAAACGTGTCGAGATTTCGTGCGTCGTCTTCTGATGCGATCGACGTTACAATCTCTTCACCAAACATTTTCACTCCAAGCGGGAGTAAGCTCGACAATTATGAAACAAGACAATTGTCGAAATCCAACTTTTCTTCACACCCACTGCTCATGTAACTTTGGTTTGGATGTGGCCTGACTTCGTTTCCGCAAATTGGTAGTGTTGTCAAGGCGACCTGGACGCACCTTGGACGCACTTTGTCCGAAGTCATCTGCTTCGGACCGTGGACTTGGTACATTCTCATATGCCTCACCGGTATCGTAGTCGGCAGCAAGCTACAACTCGTGAAAGAGGCAAAAGAGTGGTAGCTTGATGCTGAGAATGACACGACTCAATAATAACGTCGACTACGATACCGGCGAAACGTCTGAGAATGTATTAATTCCACATTTCGACGCTGGGAATAACGAAAACTGCTAGAGCACATGACTTGAGACAAGGTGCGTCAACACAAGTCGCCCTGACAACACGACCAATTTACGAAAACGAAAGTAGACTGCTACCGAAATGGAGGCCACACCATCTTGGTCTTCACATCTGACTTGGTTTGTTGGGAAATTCTCTGTGGGCAGGATTGCTCACGACCACTTCTCACCTCAAGGCGGCGCTTGATTCCTCTTGGTCTTGGGAGGGTCATGTTGTTGCAGCAATCAAGATGACCTCCTTCGGTTGCGACAAATGCCTGCCCACTTGTCGCCCATCCTGTCGCTTCACATGAGCTCGCAAGGCTTGAGCACGTTTACTGTAACTGCGTGAAGGAAGTTAACTTTCTGATACCTTCCCGCATTGACCATGTACAAAACTCTGCTGAAACCTTAGCGAATGTGAAACCAAATGGATAGTTCTGATTAATGGGGCTAGAGCATAACATCCGACATAGATTGTTGGCCTCTGATTAGAAAATGACCAACGAGACTAGCTGAACGCGTTTCATTTTAAGGTGGCCTCCCAACAGACTAATTCATGTCATATCTCTGCCTAGACACATTGGAGTATATGTGTTTGCGTATGAGAATGTGAATGTTTGTATGTGCGCAGGTGGGTAGATGGCCATGTTGATGCTTGTGTGTGTGTGTGTGTGTGTGT